TGAGTAAATTTATAGTTCACCAAAATTCCCAAATGCATAATGATATGCTGATCTCCAATGTATATCAACCTGTTTGAAGACAAATGCTACTTATTTTGGTGTATTTACCAGATCATGCTATTCCTGTGCTATCGTGTAGAAGAGATGGTTTTCTGTTAAGGCATATCACTTCAAGTGATTGAAGGAACATATCAAGCAGTTTTAAAACTCAGTAATATTATCCAGTGAAAAATAGTGAAATCTCTTTCCTAAATCCACAGAAAAATTAATATAGGTACATTTAACAGTTACTTTGGCCTAGAAGCTCATACTGTTGTTCTGAGCAAAATGATGTACAGTTTGTTGGGGCTTTTTTGGATAGAGGAATGTTTTGTGAGAGCACATACAAGAATTAAAAATTCCCTTTACAAAGTAAGTGTGAAAATAATTTGTGTTGAAGGATATTAATCTAAGGAGAATCAAAGATATAACAAGAGCCTATGAACCTCAGAAGAATTTACAAAATAGCTTCCAGAAAGTGTAGGGCACCAAAGGATTACTAACAGGAAACTAGGGGCACTGTTTTGAAGCTCAACAGCTCCATTTGTCATTCCCTTCAAATGCAGATCTTTCACAAAGGTCTTTTAGTTGTCGGTTTACCCAGAATGATTTACTGCAAGATGGTGTTGTCTGCCCCAATTTAGACATTACTACTTGCTTGAGAGAGTTCTGCATATAGGAAGATCCTGTAGCATCAGGCTGCTGTTTGTTTACTTCTCTAAATTATGGAGTATTCCATTTATATGGAGATGTCAGCCCCTTGACAGCAAGCAAATGGTAAAGGTAAAGGAATCTAGGGCATTCATGTGCTTGAAACTAAAGAGACTAGGCTATACAACGTCATCATCAGCAAGCTGTATAATGTGAAGAAAACATTAATTTTTAAAATGCTGTGATGTCTAAGAGTTTAAAACTTATGTATTGTTTAAGCTTATAATGCAAAACCAGGGTATAATCAATGGCTGCAGATGAATATAAATTGATTTGGTGGCAGATGTACATCTGCAGCTGAGATCAAACATTCAATTAAAAGGAAAGAAGCTGGTAATTCTTCACACTTCATAAAGGCTATCTGAAAAGACTGTCAAGGCATCTGAGAATTTTCACACAGAAAAAAATGTACTACTGTGCTAACATTAGGAAGCACTATTTTATTCACTGAGGACATAAACATCAGGGTGAATACAGAAAGAACCCAAAATTTGTTTAGAAGAAATGAAAGATTATTGTGAGGAGCTCCAGAAAGACTAGACTAAGCTACGTGAATGAGCATCACCAGGGTATCTGGAACTCCAAGTCCACATTTTGGGACAGAGAAATGGGTCATTCACTCTTTTAATTTTAAGGTTGGATCTAAGACCTTGGGGGAAATAAATACCTGGCTGTGGCTTATTGTATATAATGGACAGTTTAATAAGCACTTGCACTATTAACCAAGCTGAACAAAAAGTTAGCATGTAGAGAAATGGGACAATTGTGCTGGAATGATCATAATGCCCTTCCACACTTCCTCACGATGAATGCAGTGTGTTTCTCATCCCCTTTTCCAAACAAAACACAAACATAATTTGAGAAGCACAGAGAAAAAAGTCATGAAAGAGGCCTCCTTTGGATTAGAAAAATATTTGAACAGTTAGTGTTGTACCAAGAAAGTGAAATGGGCAGACTTTTGGTGTCATAAATTGGCACACCCCTGGTTTCCCACAAACCCCAAAAGAGACAGGCATTCTCAGGAAAGAAAACGTTGCCATTTTAAGACTTTTTGCCTGCTTCTCAATCTTTCTAACATTCTTGTTCATTGCCTTAGTTTTGCAGCTACTGGAATGGCTCCTTTGTAATATTAACAATTCTAAAAATCTTCTTGCTGCATAGCCTGATTAGCATGCTAATTGGGCCTCTCAAGCAGTTCTCAAGCAGCAGTTTATTCCTGGGTATCACAGTGAAATTATATATGGTTAGGTACCCAATTTAAAAGTTTATCTTCAGATTTGGGTATTCTTTTAAGAAAGAAATGTAACATGTTATTCTACTTAAACTTGAATATGATCCTACCTGGAACCATACAGGAAAGCTGTTGAGCAAAACTGTGATTTGAGTAACATTGTGCATGTTATGTATGTACAAACATACGGATTCAAAGTTTTGCTGGATTATACACTCCCAATGCGTGCGCACAATCTAGGAGAGCTTCTTTGTGACATGCCTTTCTAACTGTCTATCTGTAGGCCCCTAAATTATTAAGATATTTTTCTCAGAGAGGAAAATGATGGCAGAGAGTTTATAATTTCTAGGACATGGCTTATGAATATGGGGATTTTGCCTTAACTCAAATATGTTCCAAAATGTTACACACCTATGCAGCAAGTGTTGCTATTTGGAAACAGCAGGCTCTTCCTTGATCCATTTGAAGGGGAAAAACACCAGAGTGAATGATGCACATTCAGCTAATCCAGTACCAAAAAAAAAAAAACCCATAGAAAATAATTCTTAGAGAATAACACAGGGAATTGTGCTTGCAATATAAATAAGGATTTTGAAAATATATAACATATTCAACTACTGTGAATAATCTGTGTATAACAGCTGTATTTATAAAAGCCCCATAATATGTTTATAATCCTAATGTGTTTCTTTGCTGTTTTGCAGGCAGACCAGTAATGATTGTAGTTGAATACATGGAGAATGGATCCCTTGACTCCTTTCTGCGGGTGAGGTGCCATTTTCTGATGACATTTGAATAAGACACCATTCTAGGTTAAGATTTTAAATCATTTATCATAAATTAATTTCTACATAATGTTATTCATGGATTTTTAGCAAAGAATAGAAGCATTTTCCCCAGGGTACATTTCTAAGGTACGGTTATACATTAGAGCGTGGCTGGAAAAGAGAAGATTTAAGCTTAAGAATATAATTGATTTCTTCTACAAAAGTAGTTCCCATATTTAGAAAAATGTATTTCAGATAGTGGTTTTGTGAAGATAACCTGAAGCACAAACACCTAGCCTTATGGAAGCAGTTCATTTTGCTCAATCACCTTCAAAAATATTTTGTTATGGATTTTTTGGTTGCTGAAGTGTAGAATAGATTCAGTAATTGATTTATAATTATTATGGTTACTTGCATTTAACAAATTGAATCAGAAAACAGTTCATGGGTGAAATGTCCTGGCATTAATTAACCCCCAAAGGTCACTAATAAATATTAAAGAGGGTCTACAGAAAGCATGACTAATATGTTGCCACAGTTGCATTTAATTTTTCTTAGAAAAGTAGAACAAAAAGATGATCCTCCTTAGTTAAACTAAGTTAGTTAAACTCAGCCTACAATAGTCTCTTTGGTAACAGAACCGCTGGAAATGCTTCAAAGACCCAATGACATAAGACCCTATGTGAATAATCTGATTGTCAAATATTTCAAATTAGTCTTAGAAACTAAACATCAGCCCTTACTCGCTTTCTGTCTCGCCTTTTGCCATCTTGCAGAATGGCAAAGCTGGGGTTGTAGGCAAGGTTGGGGCAGCAGGTAGAGGGACTATGGTTTTGTGAACTTGTTTGAAAGTGTGTTCCAAGTGCAAAGGAGAGGTGTTCAACAAGGAGCTGAGAAAATACTTGCATGAAAATGTAGATGATGGTGACTCAAGGATGCTTTGGTAGCAGGAAGAAGGAGCTGCAAAGAGAAAAGTGCGAATAAGCAGGAGGGGAAAAAAAAGCCAACACTTTAGAAAGAAGACTTAAACCAGAGAGAGGGAGAGGAAGTCATACAGAGAGTACATGTTTAACAGCAGGTTGAGAAAAGAGGTGGCCAAAGAGCATCCAGAACAAAGGATGCTACCCTGAAAGCACATCAAAGCCATTATCTTTGATATTTACAGACAAGACGTTGTTTCTCCATTCCTTTTGCTTTTGATTATTCCATAGTATTTTGTCTCTAATATTTTATCTTGTCCTCTTCACTGACTGTCCCAAATAATTTTTTACTTTTCTTTGTAAAGACACATGACAGATACATGCTATGTTGTCAGAAACACACCAACCCACAGTTTCTGGTGAGAATTTGCTGATGTCTCAAAATCAAGTTATTTTTCTGGAATTTGATATCATCAAGTTCTTCTTAGAAACGGGGTAGGTTTTAAAAATCACCCCCCTTGCCTTTCTTTCTCATCTCTCTAGCCATCTGCAGCAGACAGACTGCCACTGATTTGAGTACGTGGGGCTTCCCTGGTCTGTAATTTTTCATCAGTGTTCCAGGAAGACTTGTCTGGGCCTGAAACTCTGCTCTGTGCATGCGCATGTGTGTGTGTGCACACACAGAATTTTGTAGAAGAGAATAAAAGCAAATACTGAAATAATTCGTGAGAGAGAATTACCTTCTCTGAATTGTTCTGATATGATACCTATATTCCAATTTTTCTTCACATGCATTTATTCATCAGAATAGTTACTTCCTATGAGGATACTGTAATAGAAACTGACATCAGCAAAATTATGATGTTACTGCGAATCAATACTTCTCACATTGCATGAGATATATTTGTAGGTAAAACTGCTGGGGGGAAATGTAAGCTAATCATTTCTGCAGCTGGTTTCCATGTATATTATTTTACAGTTTTAGTTTATACTTCAGATATGGTTTATTCTTCTAAAATGTTTTTTTAAAGGACTTCAGATAATATTCAGCATCCCAAATCATCATTTCTATTAGTAATTAGCAGAGGAAAGGGCTGCAAAGTAACCTATTTGAAAAGAAATCCAGCTGCTTCGTTAATAATAGTGTTCCCTGCGGATAGCGGTCTACACTTTTTAAAGCTTTTGTAAAGATAGAAAGAAGCAGAGAGAGTTTGTTTATCTTTAGTGATTCTAAGAAAGATGAGGTGAGATACTTATGTGGTGAGATTTGGCAGGGCTTATAAGATAGTCTATGTCATTATTTAAAGAAGTCACTTGTTACAGTGTGAAGTGGTTTTACAGAGGGAGGAGGAAATCAAGTTCTCACCATAAGAAGTACTTCCCCACACACTACAACCTTCAAAACTTCACCAGCACATCCCTCCAACCTGTCCTTCTCCAAAGAATGCAAAAACAGGCCAATCTTTCAATTGCAAAGTGAGACTCTGTGATGAATCATGTGGGGGTATTCCAGAAGACTCTTCATGGAAGATGTTTGCCATCACCCTCCTCACACACTTGGTGGAATATTAGCTTCCATGACAGTACAAGTTGTGCCACTAATCGCAAGCTCCAGGTAAAACTCCCCTGAATCCCAGGCCAGCAGCTTACACTCATCTTTCATCTTATTTAGTGCTGTATTTCAGTTACAGTTATATGACCCAAAGTCCCCAAGCCAGTGCCTTATTTTCTGCTATCTATAAGAATTAAATAGGAAGCTCAGCTAAATTGTCTCCCCCATCCCACAAATATCCTATGTATTAGCTGCTAACTTTGAGCTTTTGGGTACAAAATTTGGTATGCGCATGCAATATGAAGATGCTTCAGATATATTCCTAGTGGAAAGGCATCAGCTAATTAGAACCAATTCTTTAAGATGATGGTAATTAATTACAGTGATTGTGCACCATCAGACCTCCTAAATTGCTGGAGACACTTGACACTAAATTTTCATGCTTTATTTTTGCAATTACATAAAACTAATTTCCATAAGATGAAACTCACTTATCTTTTTTTCTAATGTAAGTTAATCATCCTACAAAAGTATACCTGAAATATGCTGTCAATAAAATGGTCATTTGACCAGAAATAAGGTACATGTGACTTCACTTCTGGTAACACCTGAAGAAATTTCTCACACTGTCTTTATGTTTCAGTCACTGGCCTGTGTCATGGAGATCTTAGCAATCACTTCTTCTGCAAGCATATGAGGAAAATAATAAAACACACAAAGAGCTGAAAGAGCAGCTATCTTTATTGATAGGAAGATGTACTTAGCAATTAGGTAGGATAGTTGCAGTCAGATATGTTTGCTCAGGCTTACAGATACAGATTATAGAAGATGTGACAAGACAACAGAGATGCCTGGTACAACCATGGAGCAGATTCTCCTGGAAACCATGCTAGGACACATGAAAAACAGCGAGGTGGTTGGTGACAGTCAGCATGGCTTCATTAAAGGCAAATCATGTCGACCAATTTGGTGGCCTTCTATAATGGGGCTACAAAACTGATGGAGAGGGGCAAAGCAGTTGGCATCATCTACCTGGACTTGTGCAAAGCATTTGACCCTGTCCCACACAACATCCCTGTCTCTAAACTGGAGAGACATCAATTTGATGGATGGACATAGCAATCAACAGCAAAATCTCCAAGTGGAGTCCAGTAATGAGTGGAGTCCCTCAGGGGTCAGTGTTGGGACCGATCCTGTTCAACATCTTCAGCAACATGGACAGTGGGATTGATGCACCCTCAGCAAATTTGCCAATGACACCGAGCTGTGTGGCTCAGTTGGTACGCTGGAAGGAAGGGATGGGATCCAGAGGGACCTGGACACGCTTGAGAGGCAGCCAGTGCCAACCTCATGAAGTTCAACCAAGTCAAGTGCAACCTGGGTCAGAGAAGTGATTCAGAGCAGCCCTGAGGAGAAGGACATGGGGGAGTTGGTCAATAAGAAGCTCAACGTGAGTTGGCTTCAGTGTGCACTCGCAGCACAGAAAGCCAACTGCGTCCTGGGCTGCATCAAAAGAAGCTGTTTGTGCTGGACATCACGATATTTTCATCAGTCTTGCCTGTCAGATGATTCCTGTAAAAGTTCTTTGCCGCAAGGCTGGTCCTTTCACTCTGACCCACCCTCCACCTCTAAGCCCACTCTCTGAGTAGATGTCTCATAGACTTTAAGCTGTTAAATCTCATCTACTGTTTTCACAGATCCACCTGAAGGGTCTTTCTTGGCTAAAATAATTGGATTTAGCGTCACGGAGGCAGGAACGGGGTGATTAGGAGGTTAGGTGGCTTGTGTGCTTGTGGAGGGAGGCTACTGCTTCTTGGGTTCAGTTGCACAGAATGATGCCTGGGGAGCATTTGCTGGCTTGTGGCCTGTGCTCATCGTTCTCATGCATTGTTCAGTACAGTCATGGATATAAACCACAGAAAAGGAATGCATCTAGAAGCTGTCTTTCGGGGATGCTTGTTTGTGGTTGGCTACGTGGGATCATGTGAAATGAACCAAAAAACTACCACCAGAGTACTTTAACTTCTTTCAGTATTTTTCTGCAGCTGCAGACTACCAGGCTACTGTTACTGTTTTATTCTTGCTCAGTGTCCAAGGTGTGCTAACCAATAGTCAGCTCGGTGAGGCAAGAACATAGCAAAATTAATCAGATGAGAACTCACAGTATTGCGGCAGGGTTTGTAACAGGCCTGATGCTAAAATGATCTACCAGCTGTATCCACTGCACTGTATTTGCTCACCCTTCTTTATTAGGAAGGCACTCTCCAGGGATCAACATGGGAAAGCAAGCTCCTCAGGTTTTGTAGCATTTTCCCTTAACTATATCCTGAAGAGACAGATGTTTACATTTGAAAGATTCTCCAGTCTTGTCCACTTTCATGAGTCTCTGAGCTGATTATTTACTTAAAATAATCATACTGTTGTCTTGCTTTCTTCATTGTTGCAGTTTGCAATAGTAACGCTCCTCTTCCTACCTAAAAACTTGTGGCTGATATATTTCCTTTCACTTCAGAAAATTAATACTTGT